AAAGCCCCCCTTGCATTATATCAGTGAGGCAGACATTGTGATATCTGAACAATACCAGCTGGATGTGTGTGTCAGAGAAAAAGTACCAAACATTAGTCTTGTGCTCAGCAGTGTACCATCTGTCTTAACATTCTGTTTCCAGGAGCTGCAACTGTGATTTACGCTCCATGTGCAACTCTTAACAAGACAGAAGCTTCAAACAGAATACAATTGGAATTTAATTAAAGCACCAATGCTGATAGGTAATCTGATTACTCTCCACAAGCACTTCAGCACTCAGCAAAAGCACTTTCGCCTGCATGACTGAACCTGCTGGTAACAGCAGTTATGTCACAAAGACAGCAGCCATAATGACAGCAGACTGCTGATGTCTTGGAGTCCTGAACGATGACAACCAGCGTTAATGATGTTCTTCTTACTTCATAACTTTATAAACAGAATTGACCCTTTGACCAAACGTATGCATACTCATGCACAACCAACTTTCCATGAAAATGACAAAATGACAACAGCTGCTGTTTACATAAGCACTCTCGTGTCTGTGATAACCAAGCAGATAGAGGGGTCTGTTTCAAATAAAGCCAGAGCTGCCGTCAGCCTCACCAATGTCCTTCTTCCTACAGCTTCAGTACGAGAAATGAAACTTGGTCACACAAAGGAGACACTACACTGATGATTACTGTCAGCACATGCTAAAGTACATGTACATGTGTGGATGCCAGCTGAAGACAAAAGGTTCAGCTCTAACCAGCTGCTCAGTGACAGCTGTACCAAAATACACAATTTTCAGACGCTTGTAATATCTTAAAAAAACCACGTAATTTTCACTGGAGATTTATATTATTATGATGATATAAATCATCAGTTGTTTCCTTTTAACATTAATTAATTTCCAAGCAACCCAGACTGACCGAACTCTGTCGTGGGAGCAATGTGAAGATGCGTTTTCCCTGCTTCTGTGAATACTTCCTCTGAGCGTCACCTACCTGGTCTTAATGGTGGGGTTCATCCTGAGAGGAAACAGTCCCAAGTCTATGTCTTCGCTGTCAGGGTTAAACTCTAGTGCTCCTGAGACATAAATCAGAAAGTAGTCCCAGAGCTCAGGCAACTTCTGAGAGGAGAGAATCATGAGGGAAACTGGAGGGAGGCTCTGTTTTGGAGAAACAACTAGCTAAAGATGGGTGTCATCCAGAGTGGGGGGCCCACAGCAGCGTTCTATCACCTCCCTTCAGCTTGCATTTAAGCGTTCCAGCTGATCCAGCTTCAATGTCCACTCAGCAAATACATTTAGCTGACTGACTCCTTCCCTCGGGACATAACACAAGCACAAAATGAACCGTTCCTCTCCAAACTGCACCACGTCCTCCACAAACAGGACCGGATAGATATAATTATCTGCTTTCCTTTGGAAAACTCAGGAAAATGCTAAAGGTCCTTTTTATTTGGAATGTTGTATCAGTGTAGTCCAATATGACATCTGACAAAGAAAATAAAACAAACAGTCACTGTCACCTCATACATGCTCTCACATTTCACTGAAACACACAGTGTACATGTTGTTAGTGTCTGCTTTGGCTGTTCACCTGTTTATTTCAGCTGCTTATTAAGGCTTTAATTAAGAGATAAACGTGACTATTCTCTGGGATTATTAAATCACAAATATATGGAGGAAGGATAAAATGTGAGGATTGTTTTCAAGGAAGCATCTGTTAGACTGGCAGGATGGCTCTACCTGGTCACACGGCCAATACTTAGCTGGAGGACCAAATGAAATCATGCTTCTACAGTAATTTCTGATTATTTCAGGGAAAAAAAAAACTCCGTTTAATGAGAAGCATCCATGAAGAGGACCGTGGTGATTTTATGTTATTCTGAAAACAACAGCTTTTCTTACCGTGCCTTCTTTGCCCCTGACAAGTCTGTGACTTTGACCTCAAAGCTGGCTTTTCAAGTTCTCGCGACCTTTTCTGGAATTTATTGTTGGAAATTTAGATTCACCTTAACGTCACTTGCCCGATCAGTAATGTTGTATGAACACAGGACAAAACTGTCGCTCGAGTCTTCACATTTTAGTGATGCGTTGTTCCAGTGTGAGATTGAACGCAGCGTAGGCGTGCGCGTCTCCTACCGTACTCTGCGCACAGGAGAGGCGCACAGCGCCCACTCTCTAGTCCGTGCCGGGCGCACACGCGCTTGTTCACGTACCAGTAAATGAGCGACAGTCCGTCGAAGCGCTCGAGCTCCCTGCCGCGCTCCTTCAGCAGAGACATGCTCTCCTCAGTGTGAGCCTGCGGTCCGTGCGCTGACTGTGGGGCTGTGTCAGCACTCACCCCCTCACATCAGTGGTGTGGACAGGTGGGGCTTTTCCTGCTGACTGACCGCAGCCCGTCTGTCTGACTGCTGTCCTGCATCTGTGAGTGGGTTCGACCCCTGCAGCAGTGACGCTGCTTAGGAAAAGTTGTCGGGTCGCCGTTGACGGGAGAAGTAGGCTAGCCGACTGGACCAGCTCACAGCAGTCAAATTACGCACGTAATACATGAGCGTTGACAACTCTCTTTTACTTTTAGAAAGCCTTAAAAAAGGCAGTCCAAAAAAAGATGTATGGATATAAAGCTGAATTATTGCGTGGTTTAGATTTGCAGCATACCATTCGGTTCAAAATGTATATATTTTTTATTTATGTTTTAAGGTTAGAGCAGTGTCTCTTTAACAATATCAAAGAAAGTGCAAATATCCTGGAAATTAGGGCTGACACTATCAAATTGTTTCAGTAATCAAGTATCCTACCAATTATTCCATCGATTATTCGAGTAACTGCAAAAAATACTTTTGACTTATTAATAAGCAATAATTGTAGAACGATCAAGCGTTACTTTTTGTTACCACGTTGCTTTATTGAGCGTGCAGTGAGCAGTCAAAACACAACAACCCTGAAAACGGCTACATACTCTCACTGCTGAACAGCCTACTGCTGTAAAGTTATTGCAGATGACGTAAAGCTGCCGTACACCTTGGCTAACATAAGCCCATATATGGCGATAATAAATATTCCAAATAGAAAAAACACAGGTCTTTCAAAATGAACTGCTCAGTGGTTTGCATTTTAGAAACTGCAGTGTTTTAATAGTTTAACTGCATACAGCATCTGTCAAAAACGAAACCATTTCATTGTAGTTACATGCCATCTTAAAATGTAATTGTTTAAATAAAACATTTTCTCAAATACAAAAATAAATAAATAATCTAAAGTAATGTCAAATAAAATGTGCTGTACATGCAACCTAAACTTGTGCATAAAAAAGCTACTGTTTCAGTACCTCCACAAACACAAGTACAAGCTTAAACACCAGTGTTGTGCCAAAAAGTGAATGTGGGAATTTAAACAGTTATAAATATTTGTTGGCCTATAACCTCTCAAATATAGGACAAACATATCTCTCATGAAGGATATGAAGACGTTTTGAGAACATTCCAATTGTAACCCATCCCTAGCAGGGTGAAGCCTGGAAGCGTCATGTCCCCGTGTCTCCCCGGCTGACTCCGTGTCAGGTGACATGTTTGTTTTTGTTTTGCTCTCCTGTCTCTTCCCTCGGCCGGGCCGGTGTTCATTGCGGGCTCCCGCCTCTGGCCCCCGCGCCTGCGCTCATCATCACATCTGCTGCCGATTCCAGTGGATTAAAGCACTACTTAAGATGGCAGACCTGTGTTATTCTTCGTTGTATCGTTGAGCTATCGGCGTCAGTCAACATGCAGATCCAAAAATCTGAATCGTGAGTTTTGTGCGACTTTTCAGCCGCCATTTTAAGTATTACGAAACCAATATCGGAGACAGGCACATCCTTGAAGGGGTGAAAATCTCTGTCATTATCTACGGGGGTTGAGGGTCTCCGCTCCCATCTCCTCTGGGCCCTTGATGGCTGGAGGTTGCCATCCCAAAGAAGGCGCAGAGTCCCAGGAATAGAAGGCCTGAATGTTCACGACATGGAAGACTCTCGCGTCTTTGACGATTTCAACTTAGCTAACCTGTAGTTGTCATGGCTATGTGCAGGCAGGCAGGGAAAAGGACCCAAAAGGACTCACGGAGGCAAAGGTGAAACTCAAAACAAACAGCTTTATTGCCAGTTGCAGATTGAACAGGAGACAACTACACTGGGAAAACATAAACTGACGGGCAGGCAAACAGGTTAACGGAACACAGTGAAGGCTCCCAGATGGAAAAGAAACAGGAAAAACTTATAAAAGACTTGCACCAGCTTACCGGTACCGGTCCGTGAGTCGTTTGGTACCGGGCCGCGAGAGTTGAGGCTCAGATGTGAAATGTCTGGTTTTCAGGGTTTTTATCGGTTTTCAGCGTTATTTTGTTATCGTTTTTATCGTTTACTCGGTTTTCCTGGGTCTTTTCAAGTGTGTTATGAATAAACTTTCTTTTTTTCAGTACCGGTACTAGTTTTATTTTGTTGTATTTATCCGCAACACCTTAAAGGCCGGTCCATGAAAATATTATCGTGCATAAACCGGTCCGTGGCGCAAAAAAGGTTGGGGACCGCTGCTCTAGGAGGCTGGAAAGGCTAAGCTAAAAAGGTGGGTTTTCAATGGAGAATTAAAGGTCTGGATCGAGTCAGATGCGCGAATAGTATGAGGGAGGTTATTCCAGAGGTTAGGTGAGACTGAAGCGAAGGCACGGTCACCTCTTCACATTGGGAAAAATTCCATCCTCCCACATCGCTTCCACCCCCATTCACCTTCGTGAGAATTTACAAATATAATATCCAGGGAACGGAAATGGCATCCATTTGGTCGAATGACTCACAAGAAACCTAAACAATACCAACTAAAGACTAAGAAACTTCACAACAATAAACAAAGTACAAAAGTACCAAACACTGGGTCAATGATCCAGGACCCCTAACAATATGGGGTTCTTCCCTTTGTCCTCTGCAAGATGAGTGGTTTAGAAGATGTTCACAGTTGAGACTGTAGCTGCCCACTTGGAATTACCACTCGTGACGCAGAGAGCTTCGACTGATGCAACTTTATTCTCTCCTCTTTAAACCACCGACAATATGGCACCGTGAAAACTATAAAGATGCACAAACAAATACCATTAAACATTTACGTAAAAAGTGCAGAAATGTTCACATTTTACCATAGAAATTTTTTTTTGATTAACTCAAATAGTGACATTGACATAAATCAATAGTTTTTAAACTACTTATGTTACAGCATTTAATAAAATGAATTAACAACAACCTTTCTGTCTCTTAAATACATAAACAATCATTTGCAATCATTAACCAACCTCTTTCTGCTTCCAAGGGTGCTAATCATGCTGAATCAGCTAGCCAACCTCCTCCATGCGCATCTCTTAGCCAGTCTTTCCACACCACAAACAAATGACATGCATACACAATAAAAAACGAATTCAACCACAGTGAGTAAACTTTCAAAGTTATAGCATGTGACAGATAAATAAAACACATAGTTTTGCATGAGTACCCTCAAAAACAAACACTTTTACTCACTCTGAAGCAACGTGTTTGCGTCGCCTCACCGAGAACAGAACAGGAAGTCTGACACAATAAAAGAGGAAGTGCTAAGGTACTCTTCAAAATAAAAGCGCAAAGTAAAGTGGCTTTGCCGGCATTTACACTCCCACCAAATCCTGATACAATGAACGAAAAAATTCACAAAGCAAGTGAGTTGTACAGGATTTCTTATACTAATAAATGGATGACTGAATTAAACTATTAGAGGTATACAGGTAAGTGTACTTTATGCATTGAGGTAGTGTATAAACATAACTAGTATTGCCTTAACATATTTTGTTTTATTTAATTCTCAAGGAGTAGTACTAGTTTTTGGATTGGTCTCTCAATTACTGAAGGTTTAGAAGGGGCATCTTGCTTTCTTTGAGGCTTTCTCTCTCGTACTTTAACTCGACGGACTAAGCCATCATGGTCTTGAAAGGTCTCCACAACTCGACCTAGTTGCCAATGGTTTCATGGGAGGTAGCCGTCCTTGTCATTTTTATATCTCAGGTAAGAACATGCACCATATCCTACGCA